GCCATCCTTCTTGAGCGAAGACAAAAATGGGTAAACCGGGGCTAAAAAAGTGTTAGCCAGCTCACATTAACTCGGCTTAGAGGGAACAGTGGACATAGGCCCAGAGAAGAGGAAATGGCTACTGAACAGCTGATCCAGGTGTGTAGGCCCGGTTTTCTCAGTGGCTGAGTTCCAGCCACGGGCCAACGGAAATGTAAAGAGACTTTGCACAGTTCTGCTTGCACAAGAGCTTGTGCAATGTCTGGCTCTTTCCTCCCAATATATTGTGGTGGTGGAAAGTGCTAGTGAGAGTTGCAGCCGACCCTGTAGGGGTTCCAAGGCAAGAGACGTCCACGGGTGGTTGCCCATTGCCTGACTTTGCGAAGCGACCCTGGACTGACGTGCTGGTCCCCTATTCAAGTATAAACTAGGGATGACCCATCTGAGCTTCCGAGATCGATATATTAATAGTGCCCAGAAATTGGTTGCACGAGCAGAAATGCAATGGGGGGGGGGCGATACAGTGACTTAGCGCAAGCAGCTACCGTGGACTTTTTCTCTCATTACCACTTGCTCAAGAGCTCTTGCACAAGCAGAAACTGGGTGCCGGATCCAACCCCGTGTGCTTGAGGAATGCTTTTCCCCGTGACATTAAAAAAAGAAAAAAGAATGTACATTGAAAGCTGTAGGAAACCACACTGAATTAAAAGCACACTGAGCAATTAGTGTAGGTTGTGTTAATAATGAAAATGATATTCTGAGAAATCAACTAATATATGCCAGTAAAAGGGGGGGGGGTTTGCTAGTAAATCAGTAGATTGTGCATAGTGTATAGACGTTTAGAATATATCAAGCCAGACTGTCGATCCTCTTAAATTAATGCTGATCCTCTTTAATACACCAGCCTTTTCAGCCAGAGATCAAAGTAGCTTCTTGCTGCTCAGGGGTGCTACTTTTGGGAGGGTGGGGGGGTGGTACATGGGAGGGAATTCAGTGGAAAGGGGAAGAAAAGGTTGGTTGCTCCATTGGTGTTCCCTCTGCCGTTTCTCCCACTGTGATGCATAACACACAGTAGCAATTCTGTGCGGAGTGACTCTCATCCAAGCCTGTTAATGTGAACAGGTTAGGCTGGAATAACTCTGCACAGAATTACAGCAACTTCCAGGAATGGAGTGCATTCTGTCAATGTTCAGTCAATAGACGTCAGCAGCTGCAGGCTTGGGGGCCAGATGTGGCCTCCTGGGGTTTTGCCGTCTCCCCATCTTCTTACTTCTTGCAGTTCTCAAACTGGAGAGAAGATTTGTGGAGGAATAACAGCTGTGGCAATGGGCTGTTTGGTGTAGTGGAGAGCCAGTGGACTTTAATCTGGGGGAACTGGGTTTGGTTCCCCACACCTGCAGCTGCTGGTGTGACCTTGGGTCAGTTACAAGTTCTTTCAGAGCTGTACTCGAAAGAGCTCTCTCAGCCCCACACCTACTTCACAGGGTGTCTGTTGTGGGGCGGGGAAGGAAAAGGAGATTGTAAACTGCTCTGAGCTCCTTCGGGTAGTGAGGGGCGGGGTATAAATCCAGTCTCTTCTCTTCTGTTGGGTGGGCTGGACCTCTAGCTTGCCAGCCCCCAAACCTATCTAGTGCTTATTTCGCAAAGGGGAAGTTGTGACCTTGAAATATCGTAGCAGGTGGAGGCTTCCAAATAAGCATAGTGAGGGTGTTGTCATTTGGCACGGAGCAATACGTAAGCAGCACACTGTATATATGTATATATTGTGATGTTTTCTGTATAAATGAAATCTTGGTTGATGAACACACAAGTGAAACCGGCTTACACTAGCCCTGTTTGCAGGTTACTGTGTGAACACACGTTCAGTCTGCGGATTGTTCTTGATATGTGCATGGAGTAATTATCATTTTACATTCAACGCATATGCAGCTCAACATGGTTTTTAAACTCAATATTTATCCATGTACTGGTTCATTTGTAAAGTGAACACAAGTCGGCTCTTTCTTAGAAACAGATATACACATCTACAGGCAGGACAAGAACGTAAGAACACACACAGTGGCCAAACCTCTGGAGGGCCAACAACAGGGCATAGAGGCCAAGACTTTCCCCTGGTGTTGACTCCTGGCTCTGGAGTTCAGAGGTTGACTGCCTCTGAATGTGAAGGTTCCCTTTAGTCACCATGGCTAGTAGCCACCCTATCCTCCATGGATCTCTCTAATCCCCTTTTAAAGCTGTCTGTACCCGTGGCTCTCAGAACATCCTCTGGCAGCGAATTCCACATTTTAATCACTCTCTGTGTAAAGTAGGGTTTCCTTTTGTCCAGCCTGAACCTACTGCCCATCAGCTTCATTGGATGCCCTCAAGTTCCAGTATTTTGGGAGAGGGAGAAAAAGTTCTCTTTGTCAGCTCTCTCTCCAGGATGTGCGTGCCTTTGCTGTAACTTGTGAACAGTGTTACTGAACCAGACCATTGGTCCATCAAGGTCAGTATTGACTACTCTGATTGGCAGCAGCTCTCCAGGGTCTCAGGCGGAAGTCTTTCGTGTTCCCTCCTGCCTGGCTGTTTCAACTGGAGACGCAGGGGATCGAACCCGGGATCCTTTGTGTGCCAAGCAAATGTTCTTAACCACCATACCAAAGAGCCAGTTTGGTGTAGTGGTTAAGTGTGCGGACTCTAATCTGGGAGAACCGGGTTTGATTCCCCACTCCTCCACTTGCACCTGGCTGGATGGCCTTGGGCTAGCCATAGTTCTGATAAGAGCTGTTCTTGAAAAAGAGCAGTTTCTGTCAGAGCTTTCTCAGCCCCACCTACCTCCCAGGGTGTCTGTTGTGGGGAGGGGAAGGGAAAGGAGTTTGTAAGCTGCTCTGAGACTCCTTCGGGTAGTGAAGGACTGGCCCCTACCCAGGATGAGGGGCCTGTCTTTGTACAATAGTAAAGAGAACACAACCCAATAGTAAACCAAGTGAAAGCAGTTGCCAAATAGGATCATAGAATAGAGGGGCTGTGGCTCATTGGCAGAGCCTCTGCTTGGCATGCAGAAGGCCCCAGGTTCAATCCCTGGCATCTCCAGTTAAAAGGACCAGGCAGTAGATGATGTGAAAGACTTCTGCCTGAGACCGTGGAAAGCCACTGCCAGTCTAAGTGGACAATACTGACTTTGATGGAACAAGGGTCTGAGGCATAAGGTCCCAGGTTCAATCCCCGGCATCTCCAGTTAAAAGGACCAGGCAGTAGGTGATGGGAAAGACCTCCACCTGAGACCCTGGAGAGCCACTGAGAAGGGCTGTGGCTCAGTGGAAGAGCCTCTGCTTGTCATGCAGAAAGTTCCAGGTTCAATACCTGGCATCTTCAGCTAAAAGGATCTGGTGGTAGGAGATGTGAAAGACCTCTGCCTGAGACCCTGGAGAGCCACTGCCAGTCCAAGTTGACAATACTTACCTTACATTGATGGACAGATGGTCTGATTCAGTATAAGGCAGCTTCATGTGTTCAGTGGAGCAAAAGGCTGCATTTTCCCATCTCCCCCCCCCCACTCACCTGTACAGATCAGGCTGTGAAATCCATAGCAAACCGCTAGTGAGGATATGGTTCAAAGTTGTTTTGTTCGCTGGAGTTAGTCTTACCTGTGGTTTCATGTGACGTATGAATGCAGATACCCTGGCTGGCTACTCAGCCATGCTCTCACACCCATCCTGGCTCCAGAGATGCCTGCCCAGAGCAAAGGCAACGAAACCAGCATCAGCCAAGGAAAAGCAGAATGGTTCGTCTATGAGCCAAATCCTGTTTTCCCAAATTAACCAGAAGTAAAATGGGTTTGCATTATGTCAGCAGTGAGTTCAGACAGAACGCAATACTCTGTTTTATTTAAACTCTTGGTTTGTTTCGGTAGAAAAGGGCAAGAGTCCAGCAGCACCTTAAAGACTAACAAAATTTGTGGCAGGGCAGGAGCTTTCCTGAGTCACTGCTCACTTCTTCAGAAGTTCTGAATTCGAACACAGGGCAGTAGGCATGAGATCTGCCTAGCCTAGGTTATATTTTAACAAGGCACATTAAATTATGCAAAATTACACAATAGGATACAACCCATGGCAAACTATACACAGTAGTACAGACCACAGTCCCCAATAGTTTATCCAGGTAACTTTGTGACACCTTCTGTAACCGTGCTACCATTTGCCCGCGTAGAGAAGCCCTCTTGAATCATTCAGTTTTGGGAGCCAGGGGTGTGGGAGCTTTCCTGACATCCTCAGACAGGCTGTTCCACAAGGTGGAGGCCACGCCGCAGAAGGCACATGTATGGGCAGCTGTTGATTTTGCCCATTTGCAGGTTGGCGCCTGCAGAAGACCATGATTGGATGAGCAAAGCTGTTGTGTTCTTGTGGTAAAACCTACGTTCTTTTGGATAAACATAAAGAGCAGAAGTCCATCAGTGGCTCTTAGCCACAAGGTATAGATGGAACACTCTATCTGGGGCAGTGATGTTCTGTATTCTGGGTGCTTAGGGGACAAGAGTGGGAGGGCTTCTGGAGTTCTGGCCCCGCTGGTGGAGCTCCTGATAGCCCCTGGGTTTTGGCTACTGTGTGACACAGAGTGTTGGACTGGATGGACCATTGGCCTGATCCAACATGGCTTCTCATGTTTTTATATTCTTCAGTAACACGTGGAATTCACTGCCACAAGAAGTCATGGGAGCTACAAGCATAGACAGCTTCAGGAGGGGACTGGATATGAGGCAGAGGTCCATCAGTGGCTGTTAGCCATAATGTGTAGATGGAATGCCATGTCTGGGGCAGTGATGCTCTGTCTTCTTGGTGCTTGGATGGACAAGAGTGGGAGGGCCTCTGGAGTTCTGTCCCTGCTGGTGGATCTCCTGATAGCCCCTGGGTTTTGGCCACTGTGTGACACAGAGTGTTGGCCTGCATGGGCCATTGGCCTGTTCCACCATGGCTTCTCTTATGTTGTTATGAGAAATCCTAACCTTGGTTTTGTTTCCCCCCCCCCCTCTGTTGGATTTCCAGAGATGTGAGCTGTGTCCCCATAAAGATGGAGCGCTGAAGCGGACCGACAATGGAGGTCAGTTTCCCTTTGTGGATAGCAGGGATGTGGGGAGTGGGTGGAAGGGAGTTAACGTTCCAGCCAAGGGGGAAAGGCCTGTCTGCTCCGAGGCACCTCTTCAGCGAGTGCCTTGGAAGAAGAGCAGGATCAAAATATTTCAAACAGAAAGACTGTGATAGCAAAAAAGGATGGGACTGTTCAGTGCTCCACAACACGTTTTGCAATCGCTGCCTCCCTGGGCAGGTGAGAGGTGTTGGCACCCTTGCTTGGGCGATGGATGCGCATGTGCTCACACTCATGCATGGTAAAAGTGTGTCTGGATTACACTGTTTCATACTGTACGTGGGAGACACCATGCCAGAATGCGCTTCTATTCCCAAATGTCAGAAAATGTAGACCAGATGCAGGTTGAGAGCCAACGCGGGGTAACGACTCAAGTGTCAGACTGAGACCTGGGAGCCCCAGAGTCAGAAACACCCCCCCCCATGGAATCTGTCTGTCCCACATGCTTCGCCTAACCCGCCTCACAGGGTTGTGGTGAGGACAAAATGGAGAATTGGGGAGCCAGTTTGGTGTAGTGGTTCAGAGTGGCGGACTTTAATCTGGAGAACCGGGGTTCATTCCCTTCTCCTCCACATGAAGCCAGCTGGGTGACCGTGGGCCAGTCACAGTTCTCTCAGAGCTCTCTCAGCCCCACCTACCTCGCAGGGTGTCTGTTGTGGGGAAAAGAAAGGAAGGAGATTATAAGTCGCTCTGAGACTCCTTTGGGTAGTGAAAAGCGGGGTATAAAAACCAACTCTTCTTCTTCTTGTAAGCTCCATTGCGGGAGGAAATTGGTCATAAATGGAGAAAATAAAATCAACCGACCACCTCCGTGAGACCTAGAGACCTCTACCACCCTCTGGGCATTGAAACCAGTTCTTCTTTGGTCACTTGGTTCCAGCTTCTCTGTGACTCTGTGACTTTCCCTCCTCTTGATCCAGGCTGGGCCCACGTCGTCTGTGCTCTGTACATCCCCGAGGTGCAGTTTGCAAACGTCCTCACCATGGAGCCGATTGTCCTCCAGTACGTGCCCCACGACCGGTTCAATAAGGTAAAAGGAACCCCATCCTGTTTCCCCCTCCCCCCTAGGGATGCCAGCCTCCAGGTGGGACCTGGGGATCCCCCGGAATTGCTCTACCTCACGCTGCTTCTATCTTTTTTTTATTATTGCAGTTTACAACACAGAAACAAAACGTAAATTAGAAACTACAATAATCATCTAAATAATACACAAAACATATATAGATACATATAGCCATCTACAATGATCAACTACCATCATCTACTATATCCGAATTACAGCTTAAATATAGACTGCAATTATAAACAACAATAATATCTTAAACATAAACTACAATTATATAAATCATACAATATATAAGAACATAAGAGAAGCCAATGTTGGATCAGGCCAGTGGTCCATCCAGTCCAACACTCTGTCACACAGTGGCCAAAAATAGCAGGTGCCATCAGGAGGTCCAGCAGT